AGCTGCAACCGGCCCGTGAAACTCGAAACTCCGCTTGTACGTTGCATTAATGAATACGAAAACATTTATCGGTCGCAAGCGGTTCACAGCGCACTTCGCTCGCTCGCTCGGGATTTTTGCTCGTGAAACTCTTCCCCGAATTTCTCTTTATATATTTGAAAAGCGCGAGATCCACGGTTCTCTAGGATTTGGAGCCGTCGACCCAGAGGCGATCCAATTTTCCATTGGGAAAATGCGAAAAGCCGCTTGAGCTTGGTTTACAGTTTTCCCACGTTCGATATCTCAGCTCCGCGCGCGCGTCCGCTATCTCCTCGAGACATTCAAAAATCCGATTGTACCCTCCGGCCTAGCATAAGACATCACTCGTATTTTCCCGAAATCGCTCGACGAAGATTGGATTGTGGCAAAATCGAGTGAAGCGGGCGCGGTGAGAAGAGTGGCTCGATTTGATACGCGGGATTAATTAGTTAGAGTTCGTTTGACGAGCCGTTGCGGCGATATAACTTGCGCAATTTGCCTGGAGGACTTGGCAAGCCCATTAAGATTTCCTGTAATTATACGGTATATATACACCGCCAAAGTGATCGGAAACTGTACTGAGAGAAAGGAGTGTTTGATCCAACCACTCACTTGGTGTTTGATAAAACCAAAGTTATAGCTACTTTTGGTTTTTCTAACACGAAAGTAGTAACGTGAATACGAGATCACAATCACTAACATTATGGTAGAATTTAATTTAAAAAATGGCATATACTATGGTAACTCTATAATAATACTCTATAGTAATTCTTTCTCCACGTGACTATATATACGTCGCAAATATTAAACATTTGTTTCTCAGTCGCGGAAATTTTCCCATAGCGGCTAATTAGCCATTCGAGCTCACTCGTGCATTCGTCCGCCCTAATGATCGTTTAAAAGTTTGCGATCGATTTAGCTGCTACCACAGTTAACAACTTTGGAATTAACACCCTCGCGGTTTTCTATCTCGCCAACGACACCAGCGGCGGCGGCGACGCTTTTCAGGTGGATGTTTCGTAAAAAGGAGAAAATAAACCTCTTCGAGAGTCGTTGTAACTAAAACTGCGTATTAATTGAAATGCTGCCTGATTATTTGCGCGATTACATTAACTAAGAAAACTATAATCTTATCCTCTTGTTATTTGTGGAATCCTCTTACTATTTGACTTCAAGAGAATTTCTCTGAAATATATTAATATTATATATATATATATATATATATATATATATATATATATATATATATAGTTCAAATATTTGATATTAAAATTAACATTTTTAAAACGTGTTCTTCCGTATATTATACCATAAAGGGTTACCGTCCTTAGTTTCAATTAAATTTACTTTTCATTTTAATTTCCAAATTACACCTCAAATTTTAACGAGAAACTACAATAATATTAGACACTAATACACGAACATGATAAAAAATTAGAATTACTAATCATTCAGTTTTGAAAATACAGCTGCAGAAATTTATCAATAGTAATATCCGCGATACCAAAATAAAAAGAAGCACAACTGTGTGCCCTTTGACAATATTTTATTTCATTTTTTCCGTTCACTATACCTGAAGAGATTATTATAGTTACTTTTTATATAAATTTGTTCAATTTTACTGTTTTTAGTAGTTCTATGAACACAATAGCAAGTGCAATAGCAAGTGTTTTACCTTCAGTTCCTAAAATATGAGTAACACATAGAAGAAATAAAATGACTGAATTACTGCAATGAAATGAATAATATTACTGAATAAAATGAGTGAATTACTGCAGAATGTCGATCTGTTTCTCGGTGGCAAAATTCTTTAATAATTTTTGCTATAAAATTCCCCCCGTGCGCGATTAAATGTCGCAGCGGTATCGTCACGGAGGGCTGCCTTAAATGAACGAAGGCTAATCGTGCATAATCTGACGTAACGAAGACGTATAGCTGAAGATTTGAGAATGACCGCATTTTCGCACAACAGCGACTGACTGCTCCCATGCTAGTCGATAATCCAAACGTGCTGATGACACGTCAGAGAAAAAGCGCATGCTACAAGTAGTCGCGCAGGTGATCGTCATCCAGCGCGGTTCATTGGGTGGCGGCTCCGTCAATGATTCTGACGTCACTTGTCTAAGGGTCAAAGCGATGCTATTTTTTATTTAATGTCGCAACCTGCGGATTCTTCGACGTCTCGCGCGACGTCATACCGAATTTCACCTCCCGTCACCTTCTGCCGATCCATTCGTTTACCGTCGGTGAGGATCGCGTCGTTCGTTCGACGTTTGCGAACAACTTAACGTAACGTCGCCTCTTAACGTACTATCCTCGCGCTGTTTGCCGTGTCTTCATGAAATTCAGGTATCACGAAGATCCCTCGGTGAAAGAGCCCTCCGAAATAATGATACGCGTATCGTGCAAGCCGCAAAGTGGGCGCTTAAATTAACACGACAGCGAAAGCGGTATCGTTTTCGCAAACGCCGGTCTCGCTCTCTCAAATTCGCGAGTTTTCGTCGGAAAAGTTGCGAGCTCGCATCGCACATACGTCAATGTTCCTCTTTCTCATATTTTTTTTATTGCCTTTTTTCTTCTCATCTCACACCTAGAATAGTATTTTATCTTTAGCGGGAATTATCTCGCAACTAAAGTTATTGTTTTGGATATTAAAATATTTTTCTCTTGGTTTCAAAAGAATCTTGAAGCCATATATAAAAGGATTTCCGCTAAGAATAAAGTCTACTTTTCTAGGTGGAATTTTTTGTGTTTTCACATAATTTTTACATTTGTCTTTCTTTTCTAATCCTTTGTATTTTTCTGTCCTTTACAATCTTCTTCTTATTTTATTTATTTTGCATTCATCTTGTAAATGAAACATGAAATACTTATGATAAATAATACTTGACGCGCTTATAATCAGTAATAATAATAACTAGAAGTCATATTTAATAAAACTTAATGCTTGTGTGATAAGATTCAATTTAAGAAGAAACTTCTTGAGTTCACAGGTTTCTGCCCAAGAATAAGATTATATTTTCCTGGATGCACATTTTTTTCTATCTTCGAATCATTTTAACATTCATTTTGTTTCTTAATTACTTTACAATAATGATTATAAGTGGCACTCGATAGAATCTGATAAGTGATGCTTACGTGATAAATAATACATGATGTTTAAAATTGAGATTCAGATCTCATCGTTCGCAAAATATGAAGGATCTCGACTTCGGCGGCGATATGCGCGCACTTACTTCTCCCTTTCAACTTGCGGCTGAGAGTTCGTACACGCGGACAAACGGCAACGAAGGGTATAATGCGCCCTGTAACTCGCTGTGTGCGACCCTTTGTTGCAGCTCACGAGCTTTTGACCCGATCGGGAGGGAGCATCCGGAAACGGGCGTGCGTCGTTTGACGATCAGATCTATCCCTCGCGCGTAAAATAGGAATTAGCACGAATAATGAGGAAAGTTGAGGCGTGAAGGGCTTGCCGGCTAAAAATAATATGCGGCGAAGCGGAGAATATCGTGTGCGCACGCTCTCCTTTGGGGCGTTTGATCTGAAAATGTCAGATTTTCAGCTACACTTTCACGTCACGTACGTACGTACATGCGTGCGTGCGTGCATGCGTGCGGGCGTGTAGGCCGCTGCTTATGCAGCGTATGCAAACACCCTCTGAGAGAAAAAGAGCGAAAGGGGAGCACGTTGGGAGTGGAAAAGGAAAATGTACAACGTCGCGGGAATTTATACACTTCGTTTCGCGCATTCGCGTCGCGATGTCGAAGCATCCTCCTGGAAATTCTACAAGAATCTCACGCGTTTATTCGCACAACTGAAGGGGAAACTCGAATCCCTTCGGCAGTTTTCCTCGCCACGCTATTGAACAAAGGATCTCGTAGTCACAAAATTTGATACAGCAAGCTAAAATTTCGTTGAAACGCTATCAACCAACATTTAACAATTGCAATTGAAAATATTTAAAGAGACTAGATGGTCAGATTACCTGAAAATTGTATTTGTTTTTTCACAATTTTTTATGACAAACTGAATGAATATGCGAAAGTGTTATTTTGACGTATATTTATACAACATATAAAGAGAAGAAAAATAATTTTGATGATCAAATACTCAATATAAGTGTATGGCACATACAGTTAAAATATATTTCGTTTTTCTTTTCAAGGTCGTTATTTTTCAGTAATATCTTGACTCTCGGTAGTTCAATTAAGCTGAATTTTAGAAAATTTCCGTAAGCTTGTCGTTATCGTGCGAACCACTATAATAGAAATTGAGTAAAAATTAACAAAATTGCAAATACCTTAATGGAATATTATTAAATTTTCAATTCTTTTATAGTAAAAAGTTAATATTTCAAAATTAAATATTTTCATAAGTTTGTCAGTGGTTCACATAATAATGACAAGCTTACAGAAATGTTCTACCTAAAATTCAGTTTAATTGAATTACCGAGAGTCAAGATATTACTGCAAAATGACGACCTTGAAAAGAAAAACGAAATATATTTTAACTGCATGTGCCATACACTTATATTGAGTATTTGATCATCAAAATTATATTTTTCTTCTCTTTAGTTGTATAAATACACATCAAAATAACACTTTCGCATATTCATTCAGTTTGTCATAAAAAATTGTGAAAGAACAAGCACGATTTTCAAGCAATCTGACTCTCCAGTCGCCTTAAATGTGTTTTTGCTTCCTCGTACTAATACGTTCTACAAATAAGAAACACGATGCCAACCCCAAATCGTATGTACCAAATATTTCAGTCCCAAAAACAAAAACAAGTCTCTCAGTGCGGCTTTTGTCATGACGATTTTTCCCGCGAGAATCGCAATTTTGCCAAAAGAGTGAGCGAGGATTCCCGAAGGAAAAACTTCCTTCTCCTCCTGAGAAAAACGTATATTCTCACGCTCGCGATCTGCTGGACGTCGAACCAATTAATCCTGAGAGCATGTCGTTCCCCGTTTCTGTTCGCAGACAGCAACTTTGTACTGGGAAATGCGCAGGTGCCGTCGATCTATCCGATCGTCTACTGCTCTGATGGCTTCTGCGAGCTGACGGGATTCGCGCGGGCGCAAATCATGCAGAAGGGTTGCGCCTGCAAGTTTCTCTACGGGCCGGAAACGAAGGAGGAGGAAAAGGCCATGATCGACAAGAGCCTGGAGAGCAAGACCGAATTGAAGATGGAAGTTGTCTTCTACAAAAAGAACGGTGAGTAGTAAATTTGATCCACTTTAATATACAATATAAAACACATACAATTTGCAAAAATTTTGTAGTAAAGAGTCAAATATTCCATATGTTGAAATATGAACAAATTAGAAAGTACCAGTTTAAATACTAGAATACTATTTAAATTAACCGAAAGTCTTGTTAACAAAATTCTGGTAACTTCAACCGGAATCTCCAGTTTTATATTTCGCCAGAAATTTGGTCAATTCAACCAAATATCTTTCTCCGTGTGCATCACATTTTTCAATAAACTTAGATCATATAACAACTTAGATTATAATTCTGTATAGTCTGAGATTGCAAAAATTTCGTTTCGCAACTTTTACAGCAATATTTTCTATCTTGACGCATTTGTTACAACGCGTGCCTCTCTCGCGTTGCATCGCAATAATGCGCGTGTTTTCCGATTCTTTGCGAATATTCCAGGACACACGAGTATATTCGAGAATATAAACGTCTGAATATGTGCCTGAGAGAAAAACTGTCGCGAATTTACGCGACAATTACGGATGCACTAACGACACTTACATATTTAAAGGAGACGCGGTAACCCGGAAGCGAGTATTGGCTTACACTTTTACGGAACTGAGCGACATTGAGAAACGCGATATTTTCCAAGAGAGCTTACCGTACAAAGAAAAAGAAGAAAGTAACGAAAAAGAGAAAAATTAAATGCAGCAATCTCATGCCCGCGCCGCCGTTGAGAGACTTTCGTCGTTTTATTTCTTTTTCGCCGCGCAACTAGAATTGTTCTTCAAGGCGAAGTTAATCGGACAACTTGCGCGATATATTTCATATCATTACTGCGAATTTATATCGAAATTGATTTTCGCGATGGCAACAAGCAATAACGCGAGTTCACCTCTTCATTAACTGCGCGATCGCTAAGCGTGAACTAATTAACTTTCGTTTAATGAAACCTCGCTTCACACTTGATCTCACGTGATACAAAGAATAAAAGTTCGTTGAATTAATAAACTGACAATTAACTACGACACGATTGAGCACCTTTTGATTGAAACGAACGGAATTTCTGGTTCTTAAGGATCGAATTTTGGTTTAAACCAAGTGATTCATTGAGTCAACGTGACAATGACAAAACTAAATGCGTTTTAGTTGAGGCAAACGGAACTTTTGGTTCATGAGAAATTTTGTTCCCTTCGATTAAAATGCGTTTAATTTTGTCGTTGTCACATTAATTCCACTAACCTTCTGTCCCCAAATATCACAGCGATGGGACCAAAATTCGTTAAATTAAAAATTGGACATTATTTTCGCTCACGTATGTTCTTTTTTACGTGTTCACGTATGCCATATTGCAGCACTCGCCCGCCCTCGCGTTTAACAAAAATGTCAGGGCACGTTATTGCGAAATGAAAATTGGTAAACGGCTCGCCATACGATATCCCTTCGATGTGTTACATCACCATGTTCCGCTGTCCACGGCTGTTCCGAAATTTCGGCAGCATTATTCCGGTCTCGCTCTTCCCCCTCGCTCTGGACAAATTGTACCGTCCAGTTTCGGCTTGCAGGAAGCCCATTCGATTGCCTACTCGACATTGTTCCGATAAAAAACGAGAAGGGTGACGTCGTTCTGTTCCTGGCCTCGCACAAAGACATCACGCATACGAAGACTCTTCAGCTCTGTGAGTTGCACGATAGTGGTGAGTTCTAACCATGCTTCTCGCTGCTAAATAACGCGCCACGTGGATCGATTTCCCTCCTCACGAGGGACGCGTTTTCTCTCGGGTGTGACGTGAGCCGTCGAAAAATACGACTCGAATTTTCGAGGAGTGTTTCACATCGCGACATCGGTAGGAATCGACTCTCTTTTTTCCCCATCTATCTTTCTGTGCCTTCCTTTATCCTTCCCCCTCTCTCCTCTCTCTCTCTCTCTCTCTCTCTCTGTCTTTTTCTCTCTTTTTCTCTCTGGATATGACTTGTTTGAGACTGCAAATGGCTTTCGAGCGCGTAAAGAAAGATTGTGATTGATCCATATGGCGCGTTTCGAAGCGTTTGCAGTGTCAAATGGATTTTGCCTTCTATCTTTTGTATTTCCCTTTCTCACAACGCACGTATCGTTTCATGCTTCGAACACTGCGACCACGCAACATGCTGCACGAATATGGCTATTTGCAACCAGGGAGTTTGTAACCGAGCGCCAGTTAAATGGACAATCGATACACCATTCAGGAAAACACGCGAATATACTCTTCCAATCTTATTCCATTTATCTTCATCAATTTCATCGTATTTACGAACATTGACTGCGTTACTAATTAACTGCAAATATATTACATTAAATTAAAATTCATTATTATGTGTGTATATATATATATATATATATATATATATATATATATATATATATATATATTAAATTTGCACATTGTGTATATTATGCAATGGACGCATATATCAAATCACATTTGATAATTTTAATGCTATTTATTATATTTTAATGCCACAGGAAACAATATTTACGTCTCATGTAATTTTATTTCAATTGTATCGTCAATTTTGAGGAATACTTCACATGTATTAACGATCTCGCGCCATCGCGTAATCTTTCCATAATTATTTCCGCCTCTGTGAGGCCTTTTCAGATCCTTGACGCGGCGCGAATGCGCAATCGGTCGCAAACTCTTCGTAGAGCACTCACAGAACACACGAAGCAACTGACCAAGCGAACAATGTGTTATTGTTAAGTGAGATTTCATTTCTCGCGCGTATACATCCACGCTCTGTGTGTATCTGTTAGCAAATTTACACGCAGAGATCTCGGCGATGTCACGCCGCGCGAGTTGCGAGATGAAAAACGGCCGGGTGCAGGAGAAATGGCGGCGTTTTTGCCGAGAGACTTTTGCCTGAAATGCACACTCACACATGCATTTGCCTTAGCTCTTTGGTTAACGTATCCTGCGCGATCTTTGTTTCTCTCGAAGAGTCGCTTCTCGTATCTCCACGCTATTATGTGTAATCTCTTCGCCGGTAATAGCTCAATTTATAATTCCACAGACTCGAATGGCAATATCGACCCTGAGGCACCGCCTTCCAATTACGGTAGAAGAAGGAGTCGCGCCGTCCTTTATCAACTGTCGGGCCATTACAAGCAGGACAATAAGCACAAAATTAAGTTAAACAATGTACGTTTTATTCACTACCTGTGATACACGATCGCCGTCTCGCGCACGACGAAGGTTCAACTACATTGAGCGATAATAATTGATCGATCACGGGAGCGATGACGCGTAATACGCGAAGCGTCTTAGGCACTCCGCGGATCGGTAATTATTGCGCTCCGCGTCTACGAATCAGTTTAAACAACAACGATATACGCTACCCGAGAGCTCGTTGCTCGGCGTTCGATTTTCCGTCGAGTCGTCCTCTCTTCACTGCACTCAAAAAAATGTTTTGCTGGTCCAGGTAGAATCGTAACAAGTTTTAGTTAAATATCGCAGTTGGAGTTTTTCATGTCTGCTGAAGAATTGTCTGTGGTACGTAGAATGTATAGTAGTAGATGTATTCCAACAATATCCGCGAGTAAATTTAGGACGACTGTGAGAATTTTACGTTCGTTTGTCCTTGGTCTTTTTTACTTACCACTTTTATAAGAAGTGTGATAGGTTTTGATCCGGATACGCGTCACACAGAGACTTTCAGAGAAATTTCACGAATAGTTCAGGTATAAATTGTTTCTGTCGTCTTCATCATTTAAGCGAACGTTTACTGCAAAACGTATGCGATATTGCTAGTGACTTGATTTTCGCTATGACTGCAAGAGCATTTTTTTAAGAAAATATGTGAAAGTTTATTCATGGGATATAGAGATATTCCGCGAAATAAAGCTCACTTGAGTGAAAACTAATTTCTGCGAATAAACTTCATACACCGCGAATAATTTCCGAGTATTTTTCTCTCAGTGCTCGATTCACTTCACACCAAAGTGTTCAAATTGGCGCAAACATTTCGTACTGGAGAATTTTGTTCGGTAAAAAAGCGCTTAAGGAAAAATCTAAAAATAAACGTGGTAGAGAAAGAGTGAAAGAGAGAGAAAGACATGTCGCGCGAAGTGTGAACGGGCGAGAGAAAACTCGGCGATGTATGTCGAGTGTGCGACAAATTCTTTCTTTTACATTGCGTATCCTTCTAGACGCTTCTGCATTCCACTGCACCGCCTTTACCGGAATACAAAACGTCAGCGATCAAAAAGTCGCAATTTATTCTTAGCCATTACGGCGGCTTCAAATCCTGCTGGGACTGGTTGATACTCATCGCGACCTTTTATGTGGCTATAATCGTTCCCTATAATGCGAGTTTCATCAACACCGATAGGCCTACCATGGTCAGTGACGTTGTCGTCGAAGCGCTCTTCATTATCGGTGAGTATCTCTCTTATCCTACCGCCAATTTTCGACCTTCCTCCCTCTGCGCCCTTTTATCCCTTTATCCCGTCGATGAGATTCTCGTTTAAACCGTGAGCCCTGGTCGCAGCATTCCATTCGGGCCAGGTAAAACGCCGTGGAATTTCGAAGGAGAAATACGCATCACATTTTTACTCTGACGTGACGATTAATTTCCGGGAGGAATGAATAATATCCCGATTTTCGATTTATTCGCGAACGAGCGCGCTCGTACTGCTTTTCGCGAAATCCGTCCCACATCTTCACCATAGCGGGATATCGACTGTTCCTTCCCACTCTTTCTCTCCTTGTTCTCTCTGCCTTTCTCCGCCCTTTTGTAATAATTTTGCCGAGAAGAAAACAAGAGAAGAGGTCCTCCGTTCGATTGGTAACACGTGAAGAGCTCGTTAAGCCAAAACCGAGAGTGGCGATCGGTTCACCCTATTTTTCTCCCCATACTCGCTGAATCTCAATTAACTTCGGTCAGGGTGAATTTTGCCGGTCACCACCCTGATCCAAGACGTAGGTCTTGAATCTTGATTTGTTGTATTGATTTAGTGTATTGCGACGCACGGTACATGCATAATAATAATATTGAAGCCTGTGATAAATACAATTATCATTGTTACTATCATAATGATAATGATGATGATAATGATGATTAGCGTTTATACACGTGACACTTAAAATATATTTAACGAACTGTAAATTTCCTTTCTCGGTTAATCGAATGCTGACGTCCCTTTGTTTCTCAGCGAATAAACCCACGAAGGAGACAGCTCGAAAACGCGCGTCTGGAACGATAAATCCGTCATAATTGCTTTAATTAAACAAAGTCACGCTTTGATTAGACAGCGGAAAAAAGCTCTCCTGGAGTCGCGACGCATCGATTACAAGGGAGTTTAATGACGTCTAGGAGGACAGAAAAAACTCTTTTGAAAAAGCGACTTTTCAATATTAAGCTCAGAGAAAAGAAAAAGAAAGAGAGAACATCAACTTTATATTATAGGTCTGTATTAATAGTGGTTACTAGAAATCTGTCTCAAATGAAACACTCAGATTTTAATTTAGTGTTAGATCTGAATTTTTCTGCTGAATCACATAACACACGTGACATTACACGTTCAAGAAAAACAGTTGTTACGTAATAAATTGCGTTGCTGTAGTTACTAACCAAATCATCGAATCAATTGATATATATATACTATATATATATATATATATATATATATATATATATATATATATATATA